TGCTTATCAAAACCTGCAGTCCACTGGTTACAACAGATTGATTATCAACTATGTCAATATTGTCAGTCATGAGTACCTAATTAATAGGATTAATGTAAAAATAGAACAATTATGAATGAACTTGAAGATTATTATAAATAGAACAACATAGCAACGGACTATATATTGACCAAACCATGAATATGTTATTTACACTAGATAACCTGGAATGTAAACTGAAGTTGTAATTGTTACAGTCAATATTAGCAAACTATCGATATGATGACTTGATTTTTTAAAACACCAATAATCATTTAGATTTGTAATACCAATTGTTCGTAAACAAAATATTTTCAGTAAAAATCAATTCTAACCAATATTGTTATTTGTTTGTTTTATATGTTCACTTGTTTTTAGATGTTTTTGTTGTTGCTACTATTCGTCTTCTTCCTTATATATATTCCTTAAGTTTACTTCACATGTTTTCAATCATTAACCATAGTTCATTGGAAATTTCGATTAGATATTACCTACAATAGTAGTTATTGACATTAATAGATGTAACTAATAACTAAATGATATTGAAATTTGACTAGTATTCAAATAAGTTATTTCTAGCACTAAGATAATCATCCTAACTCTGATGAATGAACATCTACAAATACCACCTTTTTAGTAGGTTTACATCTAACCTGAAGCAGTTCTGTTCCCTTTATAGTGTGTGTAAACCTGTGAAGAAGGTCATATGTATGCCTAGGCATTGTATTTACTTCAGTTAAAAAATATCTAGATAAACATGCAAACTCAAAACTACCAATCAGATGACAGATGCATCAAATGTACTATAACAGTAACAATGAAAAATACTCCCAATGTATCTTCTGAATTATAGAAAAAAGTCAAACCTGAACATCTATTATTGAAGAAAATCCTAAAAACCTCAATTATGAAGTGTAGTCGAAAAGAAATTGTACATATTTTTTTTAGTATTTTTACGATCTTTTGGGAAAGATGAATGACATTTACATCATATCACGAATTGTTGGGGTTAAAAATGTGATCTAAAGGTAATACCCTAATGATAATATTTGAAGATACCTCAGTATGATTTCTGACGAGATCATGAATGCCCAGTACTCAAAAGTACGAAACTAAAACGAACAATTTGTTTGGCACTTTCAAGAGATGTGTGAGTTTCCATTGATGTCAAGATATGATGGAAAAACTATGATGATAAAAAAAGATATATTTGTTCCCAAAAGTAAAAATTTTAGAACATTATTAAAATCTAAGTTTAATTTCATATTGATGCAGAAATACAAAGAAGTTTTACTGTATTGTATTATCCCGATAGTACACTCTAAAAATAGTTAGATGGAAACTATGTGAGTTTTGCACAACCAAATATCTACAGTGCTATTATTTCTTAATGAATGTATTGGACAATGCTTTCATCCATAAGATGATACAATGAAATCATGTTTCTCAGTTAAAAACAAATATCGAATTGGGTTTTGTGGAGATTGTAGTAACTTCAGTAGTTGAGATCATGAGTCAATTAAAGCTAGACCACCATGGAAAAACTGAAAGGACTGGATGGCCGTTTCGTCCTATCGTGAGACTCAGCAGGTCGCATCCATTTGTGAGATAGTAACTCACTGATGACAATGATGGATATGTCGCTCAATTTCATGGATTAGTTGAAGTTAGACATTAAAACCATTGGATTCCAGCTCAATGGTCTAGTGGTTAAGTACTCGCACACGAGACTGATTGTTCCTGGGTTCAGATCTCGCGGGGAGCGGGATCATGGATGCGCTCTGCTGAGGAGTCCCATACTAGGACAAAACAGCCGTCTAGTGCTTCCAAGTTTTCCATTGTGGTCTAGCTTCAATTGACTCATGATCTCAATTATTGAGAAAAAAATATGTTTAAAAAAATTATTTTACAAGATTTAACTGACAAAACTTCGAATCTAGGAAGTATCATAGACTCAACATTTATACAATTAATGAATCATCCATAAATTAGTGAAATTATTATGATAAATTAACTCATTTACCTAACAAATAGTTTGTCTTGAACTGTATACTTTATTGAGATCAATTGTTTTTCACTTTTTCATCATACTATGGTAATTTCTCAACCGTAAAACATATTTTTGCAAGAAGAAAACCATTCATGATCAATACGTGTTGATGAACAGCTAAAGTGTAAAACTGTCAACTTCATTTAAACGTTATAAAATTTCCTTAATAATATAACAATTACTAGATAAAAATATCCAGTGTAGTTTTTAACAATTTAAAGTTTATTCGTATAGAAAAGTGATGTTGATAAAATGTAAACACTAAATATACTGAGTGGTTATCTAAACAAAGTCAGCCCATGATGTGAAACTTTAAAGGCCACAATCCCTGTTATAACGGATGGATCTCCGTGGAATACTACCATGATACTATGACACGGAAATAAGACTGGACTGGATGATTGAGTTTATACTACAGCAGGACTGAATACTGGAACAATCCTCTATATAGAGACTAGATCATGCTATATCAAACACCCGACTCACAACTAAAACTATAGAACCAGAGTAGCGTTAGACAATACTTTATTCCACACAGTTACTAGAAGTCACTCCCAGTGAGTACGGAGTAGAAATCAATAAAAGGAAGGTCATATTTAATAGACACTGATATAAGTGTTTGTCTATACTTCCTAACAAATAGCATTCACTTTAGTCATCACAATCATCCCACAACACAATATAACAATATCCATCAAGTGTTTATTTAGTGACTAACTTCAACGGGTAATTCTTGTAGTTCTAGAGAGAAGCTACAATCAATGGAAGTCATTTATGTTAGACATGAGTCAAGTATCGATAATTCTAATGGATGATAATCGCACAATATTGCGAATTGGTTGAAGCTAGAACTTAGTGGTCGTAAGATCAAGCGCTCACAAAGAGTATTTAACGTCCTGGGTTCCATCCTTGGTAGGGTCAATAGTTTGCACTGCTGACGAATTCTACATAAGGATGAAAAAACTGTCCAGTTCCTCCTAGTTTCCAATGGTTTTCTAACCGTGTTCAGTCTGTGATAATCCATAACAAAACTCAATTTCTGAACTGGGTGTGTAAAATATAAATTAACCAGAAGTGCACATACGTAACGATAACAATAAGATCGATGAGAGATATACATCTCAAAATCTATTTACGTTGATGGTTACGATGACATTTAATGACAGTTCTACTTGATAAATGTTTATACATTAAAATGGATATGTTATATTTAGTGAAATCATAAACAAAGTAACTGAATCACAGTAGTGATTATATCTGATTTGATAAAATGTTTCCCATGTTCGATTAATTGAAAATGCAAGTAATGCGCTTTAACAAAGGAATATAGCTTAACCCATTCACTAGGTAGCTGAATATGAGCCATAATTTGTTTGAAGGCTAATTACATTATTCCGTTCCTTGAACTTGGTGTATGGGGTTTCAAACCTGGTACTTAGTGGCTGAAAGTCGGACGGCTTAACCACTGGGTCACTGCTTCTTTGAAGAGATAACCTTCCATGTCGTGTTACATGTAACTGTAATAGCTTCAGTGTCTCTAAAATAATGTACTTTTACTTAATTTTGCTTCAGAATAGATTAACTATTACTTCCTTATTGACGATTGAAATTTCATAACCCTGTCATTGAATGACGTTTCCTGACATTGATTATACTTAAGTGAAGGTTTACTCTGGGGACGCATTAGCTATTCTTATGTACTTAACTGTCTGAATTCAAGTTTATCGACTTCCACGACAGATAGCAGATAGAAGAGCATCATTTATTTGCATGAAATAGTCTTTCAACTCAACAACTGATTAGTTTCGTAACTTTCAGCTAACAACATTGATTATGATTATAGATAATTTTACATTAATGTTAGGAATTGCCGTTGGCTGTATAGTGAGGGTATTAGCAACGTTGAAGTGCATTGCATATTTCATGTTGTTTGTTTCTTAGCAGTGTCATAAATATTATTAAACAATTGTTTCTGTTGTCATTGTCATAACCGTACACATGACATAGAAAGGGTGTAAGATGACATTAGTTAGAATTTGATTCTGTTGGGATATTCAGAAAAATATCCCAAAAACAATTATCCGGTTAAGTCTAATGCTACCCTTGAACGTTAAATGGTGTCATCTTCCTACTGATCAGTATTTATTTCGCGTGTGATTTTCCCATTGGTCAATATTATTTCACGTGTCATTTTTCGGTTGGTCGATATTTATAGTAATCGTAGCTGTATAAATATGTATTTGTTTGTAAATCATTATTCTGCTCCTGACCACATAACAATTTTTCATTTACGGTTCGTGTTCTGATATATTGGAGATTGGGTAACAGTATTGGGGTCGTACAGGGATATCTGAAGCTGACCAGTCGGTAGAATTAGAGTAGCCACCTCGCGATTCACAATAGATTCGTTATCTGAAATCAATTATTCTTAAAATAAAAGTACTCGAGTTTTCAATCAATAGAAGAAGAAGAATGTATTCAAAAGATCAACGTATACTTAGATGAAAAATGATGTCGTTCAATAAAGAAAAAAAACATGCTTGCACGAATGATAATATCTATATGTTGTAAATTAAGTTTATGAAAATAAATGTATGTACGATTTCGATGTTACATCTGATCTAAATTTTAATTAATCAATATCGATAACAATGAACGAAAACAAGTGAAATAATCCACACACAGAGAAGTCCCAAATAATTAATGAATTAGAAAAAAGAGGAAATAACTTGCACAGGGTACAGTAAATCATCGTAAATAAATAAATAATTAAAGTCATCCAACTGACAGCTAATTGCAGGTATCAAATGAATAACAGATGGAAGAAAAGAGAATATAATAATATAGATATTTGTGATGAAAAAAAAGGGAAGTTCACATAATTAAGAAAAAAAATGAATTAAAATGATTAATACTAACTGACGATGACGGTAGACAAACGATGGAGAAAGAGACGAAAATTAGGCAGAACAAGTAGTATGAATGTGAAGATGAATTCAATGAGTAGTTATTTCTTTCAGAAAGAAAAAACAACAACAAACAAAACAGCTCGACATATTGGATTCACATTATCTATACTTTGTGTTTATAGTGCAAGAACAATGTGATTTTAAGTAGCTTTTCTATTCTGATCAACACCTTCATATTGAACTGAATGCATGAAGACATTATTGGCATTACTATCAACATCATCATGTTTAATATCATGACTATTATTAGCAGTAGTAGCATTAAAAGTAGTATCATTGATCTCGTTGTATTCACCTTTAACGGAATTACTAATCCATTTAGTGGCCCATATATTAACACCATTTGTGTAATAAGTGAAATAAGTAAACAACAACTGAATTGTGATAAAATAAATCTGAATATAGAATGTAGTATAAATCAGATACACTAAGCTGAACATGGATAGAAACCAAAATCCAGTGTTGAATAAACCCAAATAAGTGAACATTATATTATCTGACGAATTCACATAGAATACTAGACTATCAGGTGTTATTTCATTTTGAAATGAGCGTTTGCCAATAGGATTATCTGTAAAATTAAAAAAGTGAGTACACATATATACTACTGACTGAATGTTTGTTAACGATGAATAGTAGTGATAACTATAATTATAATATTTGTAAAGATTTGTATTTTTCTGTTATTCATATTAAAAAATCCAATCGATCAATCTGTATCAGCATATGTACATCCTGAGTAGTGAGCTACGATAATGGCACTACCCAACCTTAATATAAGCCTGTGATTAAATACCAATATAAAGGCAACCCGCTTAGGATACATCAGCTACTAGCTTTCCAGACCCAGTAGTTCAATGGATGAAGCACTGATGGTTGAAGATATTAGGTCTGTTGTAACTGAGTCGCCAAATGTTATGTCTGGTAGTCGCTGATTTTTATGTCGGAATCGATTAAACGAGAAACCACTGCAATTCCCACAACGCTGTTATAACACCTTAGTAGTCAGCAGAACAACTTAAACCTCGGACATGAGTCGCTGCTTCGAAATATTGTAATAGCAATGATAAAAAGAAAGATAAAACGTTGAGAATATGAATCGAAAAGACAGAGTGAAAAGGTATGCACGAAGTTATACAAAAATTCGAGAACAAGATAAAGGAAAAGAGTGAATGTCGCCATGCGATTGTGAATGATTTTGATTCATCCCACCTAAAGTCTCCAATCACTAATCGCATTTACCTTGCAGAGCTCAACCTCGTAGTCTGAGTCGACCCATATGGTTCAAACCAACAGTGAATGACTTCATAGACTGACAGTTAACTGTGAAGCATTTAAGTCCATATACATTTAGATATGAAAGTAATTTATAAATATTTATGGAGTTTACATGTGTATCTAGACTTGACTGGTATAACTTTAATCATACATAGACCAGTTGTTCGATCCACGTTTTTTTCATGTAACCATTAAAAATACACAAACTATCACAAAAAGGCACTAAATAATTATTTTTATTCGAAAAAAAGAAAGTAATTAGCATTGATGAAAACAAATACTACTAATAGTTAACACTATTTCATTCTTATCTCGATTTCTAAACTGTACCATGTAGTCGAATCTAGAAAAAGCGTGTAATCCTATGTGAGATTCGACAGCTGAATACAGTGTTGATGTTTATGCAACCCTGAATAGTAAAAATTGGTAGACATAAATGCTTTTATATATTCATCGCTTTCCCAGCTCTCAGTACAAAATAAACTTATCCTTTAAGAATGCTGATTATCTATGAATAACGTCTCTTTCTAAATTTTACATTTCTTGAAATGTTTAAAAATTATAGGGAGAGAAAAATCATAATGTATAATAACTTATTTTATGTCTATTATTTAAACGATTCATTTGAGTATATGTCTAATCAATAAAATGATTAGTTCTCTTTGATTGGTTAAAGTCTAGACTTGAACTAGTTAAACTGGCATCTATTTCCTATTTTTAAACAACTTTGAAAGCATATCATACATCGATATACATAATGTCTATATACAATATAAAATCAATAATATGTAAAACATTAATTCATAAAGTAAACCAACCATAATATTCTTTCAAAATATTTTCTTTTTCTAACCAACGATTTTGTAACCATTTCGACAATTTATCATTTGTTTCGTCGTCTAATTTTCGATTATCATTTTTGATGTCCAGTAAATCACTTAAATAGAAACGGCGAACAAGATAATGCACTTCATGTGGAATATGTCCATAAATTAGATTAATTTCCGGTGACGGTAAAATATCTGGATAGGCTACTGTGACATCATATACTTCAGTTAGATGATCTGTTACAAGATATAGGCAAAAATAAAAAAGACATAGCAAGAATTTCAAATTATAAACCAATAATTCAGATAATTGAGTATCTATTATTTTTATAGTATAAAACATGAACCGATTTTATCAAGATCACAAGTGAAAACGATAAAGCATTGGATAACTACTTAGCTTTAGTATGAAACTCCTTACTAGTGTGCATCTACAATCCTATCACAGAGGACTGAACCCACAAACTTCGTTCTCTCACGAGCACCCTTAACCCTTAAACTACTGCTGAGCTGGTACGCAGTGGTCAACATTCAATTTACGATACTATACAACTATTTTCCATTGGTAAATAACTGCCTCAAACCCGACGTAGTTGAACTCAAATTGTCACAGCTCCAGGAATCACACCTTAGCGACCACATGATTATTAGTATAGAGAGAGGGTGAAAATATTGTAGAAATTTCATTGTTTAAATCACGAACTAATTCTAGTTATCCAATGATAATGAATAAACATAAATATTCCTACGGATGAATGTTTGTTTTCTTGAATAATGACATTCTCATTACATAAACATTAAATTACATACTGAGAATCAGACTAAGTTCAACTTGTGACCCATCATACATATACATATACATATACACCCAGCTCCCAAATGTCCAGGTATGAACGATGAAGAGAGTCAGCTCTTCCTCTCGAAATACTTTCACATGGCTACACATATACAGCCAATGTAAGTAAAGTCCTACACACTGCTTTTTCTTGACGGGGATGCTGTTTACGAAACTCAGAGGACGAAAAGAAAATGTCCAGCGCTTCAACCAGCTTGGCGGAAACGATGAGTCCACCTAGGGGAGTTGGAAAACCCTGATCCAAAATGAAATGATCCACGTGGGCTCCAATATACTGAAGGAACAAATGGCGTATGTACCAATTGTTGGCCACCGGCTATCATGGGACTGCATCTCCTGACGTTGCTCCACGGCCTTGTGGACCAGACTTTAAGGTCGAAGGTTCCGGGTGTGACCCCCTAAGAAAATCACCTGCTTCGGTTTGGGCACCCGGGCAGTATCACAGCCCACACACGAATCAAGTGACTTGTGTGGTGTATATGTATTCGGTGCCCCTTTGTACCAATATTTATGTGTTCAAATAAGTAAATAAATTGTATAATAAAAGTGTCCAACTATCGTTTTAAAATCTGAAAACCCAAGAGAACAAATGACCGACTACCGTGTGCAGAATATTCAAACTGGTCATACTGATAGAAAAAACGTGTTACCATATAAGCTATGATGATTATAAAAACAATTAACACAATCTGACAATGCAATTACTTAATAGTCATGCTATTCAAGTTTTGTAAAAAGTACATATCACACTTTCTTTAAAAAAAACGATAAGAGAAGTAAATATAAGATGTATGTAACTAGAAGTAGAATATGATTAAAGAAAATTATTACCTATCACTAGAATTGAATAATAATAATAATAATAATAATAATAATAATAATAATAATAATAATAATAATAATAATAAATATTATAATGGTCTGGGGATTATCTTGTCATTGATATTTTGACTGAAATCTAAACAGCGGGATATTCAAATCATTACAAATTAAATGACAAAATATACCCGTTGTACAATTGAGCGGATGTCTGGACTCTACAGCTAAATGAATAACGCGTTGGTGTTTAAGGTGGAAAGTACTCAGTTTAAATTCCGGAGTGGACATCAACTATAACTGACGAGTCCTAGGTAGGACGAAACGCGCGTTCTGGATTCCATAACTAGCTACATCCCATTGATTCTATATAATAATGACAATCATATTATTTGTTGTTCCATAATGACCTACACAATTTGCTCTAAAAGTGTACATTAAAACTATTGAATCGATATAATAAGCGCATTATTATCATTATATACATAAGTTAAATTTGTGAAAATTACTAAGTAGATAAGAATTTCGTCTTTAACTGCCTTTAACCCACTTCCATTTTCGCGATATAGCAGTATCACTAATCCTTATACGAAAAACCACATAGCTTGAATTTTTATGGCGAGTTCAAATGTTTGAGCCACTTATTTTATAACTGTACAAATACTGTTCCAATCAAATAATTATGAACCTTATCTGCGTGTATTCATGCGGTATTATGCAAGACCAACGCGATGCTAAATACTGGAAATCTCAAATTGAAACACTGCGCCTATTAATATATTGTCCTTCTTGTCAACCATTTGAAAAAAAGAAAGATGAATATACTGCAACCTACACATTCAATATCTGATTAAGATAGTTTTACTAAAAGAAGTGAAATAGTAAACCTTCACCCATTACGGATAAATAAAAGATGCTATTTGAAAAAAAATCTATAAAATGTAATTTTTTGATAGTTGAAATGTGAATGTGTTAAAAGAAACTTATTACAATGCTGCACAACTGAAGCCGAGAATTCTTTACTGCATCGAAATTTCTAGTAGTGAACAAAACTATTATCCTGGTTATTATTATTATTAGATTATATTCAGTTACCGATTTATATTCAGTCAGTCATATGCAAAGAAGAACCTAGCACACCCCATTTCGCATAGAAACGAAACTACCAGGGCAAATGCAGGTATAGTAAAGATAGTAACAACATTAGTGGAATAGTGAAGGTAGTGGATAAAATTTGTAACTCAGGTGGATGATTTTGGTGGTTTTGTTCTCTGAGTTGGATGGTTTGGCCGTGGAGCCTTAAACTTTTACCTAAAGTTTGCGCTGATGACGTTTAGAAGAACGATAAAGGCCCCACGACCAAACCGTCCTGTTCAGAGAACAAAACCCCATTGAAATAGAAAACATTAGACACCGAATACATGGTTCATGAAGACAATGCGAACTAACTGAATCAAAAACCATTCTTATGGTGTGATTTAGAAAACTAGGATGTATGGGAAGACAAATAGTAAATGCACCTGAGCCATTGCGAACGAATATTTACACTGAGTATTACGTATTGTAATATTATTATTTATAAATGGATATCGACAAGATAATTACTCGAACTATAGAAATTTCTTATCACTAAATTGAACACCATATTCTAAATAGAATGTCCCTGCTACAATAGGATATATGTTTAAAAAAAACCAGATAGCATCCATTGAAGTATAAAAACAAGAACGATGGATTTGGCGAAGATTTATCTTTTTTTCGGTAAATTCCTACACAATACTATGCAAATAAATAGTTGATAATCATTGTGAAGAAAAATACATATTTTCGGGTTCTCTTCGATAAATCATTTTATATATACATTTTTTTATTATTTTAACACACAGATATTGATACAATGAGGCACCAAATACATATGCGCCACACAAATCTCACTCGATATGTGTGAGGGCTGTGATACTGCTTGGGCGCCCAAACCGAAGCAGGTGGCTATATATACATGCATAGATATAAATATGTAATATAACAATAAATAAAAAATTAATTTAGCTAGATAAAGTGTTCACTAGTGTCATACCTATATTCTATTAATTAATTTTAGCGAAGGTATCATTAAATCAAACTTTCAATCACAAAGTGTAACCATAGTGAATTCTAATTCAATAGAATAGACAATACTTCAAGTACATGTGACATAATAATTATTAAAAACGATGTTATTTATTCAATGTAAATAACATTTGTATCATCCTCTTCGACAGAATATATCATCACATCATGTTAATTTAAACAAAAATTACCTTATTATTACTGTTATAATGAAAAACTTTAATTTAAAAAAAACTTAATTAATCTTAAAATATTCACTTAATTTACGAGTTTAGTTTATGTTGCATCACTTAATTTACATGATTTGGTAATAAAAAAGTGAAAAACACAATAATATTTTTACGCAAAAATCGTTTGTAAGTACAAAACAAAACAACAAAGACCTAAACTAATCAGTACCATTATATATGAAACTTATTATTTGAAATAATCTCAGTGATTGAAATTTAAAATAAGTCCAACGTTTCGTCTAGAAAACTTGTCTAGACTTCTTCAGGATAATAATCAAAATCACCAGTCGCTGAGATTATTTCAAATAATAATTTTCACATATAATGACTTCTCTATACTCGGCGCCTAATTTCGGTCAAACTATTCGTTCTAATTAGCATCATCTTTGGAAAATTTATTAGATAAAAAACAGTTTAGATAAAAGTAATTATAAACGAAATATACATCAATGGAGATAAAATAAAAAAAGATTGGTTCAGTAGAAAGATCTCTTTTTGATTCATTCATTTTCGATGTTGTACAATAGCATACATATAATCATTTCTTAAAATGATCATTATTATTGCTTTTACAATTTAATTTTTTTTTAAAAAAAACTGATTTTTAGCTAGACCATGTTTGATAGAAGCACTGGACGACAGTTTCACCTTAATGTAAATCCTAGGCAGTAAGGATTTACAACTATCGGTCCTAGAAATGGTGAAATGACAAAAGAAAAACTGAACATCATCTACGAAATAAATTGTGAAAACTGCGAAAAACACTATATTAGACAAAGTGGATACTCTCTTCATTTTCGCCTACATGAACATCAATTAGCGGTCAAACGCCATGAAATATCCTCGTTTATATAAATGCATGTGAATAATTGCGGACACACATTCGACTAGAAATATGTTGAGATATTTAATAAAGGGAATAATATTAGCACCAGAGGGTTTTAAAAGCTTGGCACTCAAGTCAATCAGCAATCAACATTGAAAGCAATCCAATCTATCAACCAATTAGAAAAATCATGGACAAATACAGAACCAAGAATCAAAACAATGGGAAAGTCAATCAAAATAAAAAAGTAAACAATGACAAGTTAAACGTCAACAATAATCAATCAAGAGGAGTTCGGACACTTTATTTCTATTTGAAGTTTGTGCTGATGATGTTGTTCATAAGAACGACGAAAGCTGCACGACCGAACTATCCAGCTCAAAGAACAAAACTCTACCCAAATCATTCACCTGAGCTACAAATCTTTTTAAATCTTTATGACAATATCAATATTGCGGTCCAGGTACATCTAGATGACAATTCCCCAAAAGGTCAATCAGTCAGCTACAACGTAGGACCAGACACATATATGCATCGTCCAAGTTGCCATACCTCATTGTTATTCACGTCATTAGCACAACATGATGAACACCAAATTCATAAAGTAGTTACTTCAATAGCAGTAGTATATAAAAGAAAGATTGAATATAAGGATAAAGTACAGGAAGAAAGAATTAGTTCGTATAAAGAAAGAAATGAAGTGATTTTAAACTCTTAGTTTAAGGGAAGACAGAGTGTATACACCTACGCCATTATGATCGATTCTGAACCATGTCACCAAGAGTTTCCAACCACTGGTTATGATAGTCGCGCGGACGCCAACCAAGTAGTCTGCATCTACCAACAGGGCTCAGACTAGAAGTCAGTGACTTTATGGACTGATGCCACGTTTTGGTTTGGTAGCCCTTAACTCTCGTATATCGGTCTCCAACACTAGTCAGTATTGCACGCTGTGTTCCGTAACCTGACGAATGGTGAATATGTGGTCGATGCGGCCACGACCAGGTCTGAAGCCGGCTTGGTTCTCTCGGGTTTGCAGTTCACGAGTCTTAGTTAGGCGTCTGATAATTATCGAGGCTAGTATTTTAGATATTATATTAGTTAAACTAATTCCTCTGTGGTTGTCACAGGATGATTTTGACCCTTTCTTATATATTGGGACGATAAGTGATTGTGATCAGTTAGATGGGATAACGTCTAACTCTCAGATCTTAGCTAAAATATTAGTCAACCCAATCGCTAAAATTGGACCACCATCCTTAAAGACCTCTGGAGCCAACCCATCTGGACCAGCTGCCCTTCCTCGTTTCAGATTAACTATAGTCTTTTGAACTTCAGCAAGAGTTGCGTGACCTACTTCAATGTTCCATTCACACTGTATGGGAATGGAGGGTAGTTGTAGAGTAGCTGAAGGCCAGCTGAACTGTTCTCTGAAATGTTCCGCCCATCGTTCTAAACGTCTGGACTGAGAGCAGATGAGAGTGTCGTCTTTTTCCGAAATAGTCTGACTTACATTTGACTTATTAATTCCAGTTTTTTATTAGTCTGTTTAGCTGTCTTGTGTTCCCTATAGTCGCCGCCTTTTCCATCTCTTTTACTTTCGTTGCCCACCACTACTCACAGTCGTTCCTTAGACCTTTGCTTAACCTATATCTGATTTGTTTGCGCTCTTCATCGTGTTGAAAACCTGATGGGATGAGTTTACGAAAATCCATCAGTGCAATAGACCTTGAAGAAATCCATTGGTTCTTTGTAACCCTGTGATTTAAATCACTATTAGATGTCACTGCTGTCTCCACAGCTGTTTGTATATGTTTCCAAGCAACATCTGGGTCGGCCTCGTCTTCAGAACTACCTAAGTGTGACCTCAATTGTTCCTGGAACCTAATTTCGGTTTTCTCATTACTCAATTCAATTCTAATGGGTCTTTTTAGTGTGGCATTTCTGCGTCAGGTGAGGCGCAAGCAGGTGCGTGCCCGTATTAGGGCATTGCCAAAGTCCAAGCAGGTACTCCAGAATGAGCGACAATCTTCTACCGACCCTCTCCAACGATGACTGATGGCAATATAGTCTATTTGAGTCCATCGTTGGTTCGGTGTAGGGGGTCGCCATGTTAGACGATGTCTCTCCTTATGCTTAAAATTTGTGTTTGCTAAAAATAAGCGATTGTCTGAGCACAGTTGCAGCAGACGGTCACCATTATCTGTTCGCTGAGCCAGAATACTAAAATACCCACCTAAATGCCTTTCTGTTTGGTTTAAACTACCTATCTGAGCATTAAAGTCACCTGATACGAGTACTATGTCTGAACGTTTAGCTTTCTGAAGAAGTTCAGAAAGCTTTCTGTAAAATTCATCTTTCACATCATCTGACCTGCAGTCGGTGGGAGCGTCGGCAGAAATGACAAAAAGGCAACGACGTGTGTCCCTATCCTTCCGAGTTCTTACGGAGCCGTTTAGCCGAACAACACATAAACGACTGTTAACGGGGATTCACTCTAACAGTGCTTGTTCCGCCCTCATGCTTAGTGCTATGCCTACACCTGCCAGTCCACGAGAACTAGCCATCGGGTCACCAGATACACGGAGGGTGTATCTCGTTGGCTCTCCGTTTTACCGAGGTGAGGTCAAATGAATGACCACATTGGGGTCCTGTATGCGTGTTTCAGAGACACAGCATACATCAATGGTACGAGATTCTAGGGTTCTAACCAAGGAAGCCTGTTGACCGATTTGACATAGGGTGCGTACGTTGAAAGCTCCAATGTGTAGTTTGGAGCGAGGTTTCAGTAGACCAGGGACAGTGTTTTGCGCACTAGAATCATTGGCTATGGTGACACTTGAGGGGGAAGCCGAAAGAGGACGTTTAGTGTTGAAAGTCGATGAAGGAGGAATAATAGGAATTGAAGAGGGAGGTTGATTATGAATAGTGGTCTTGAGTGCTGTTAGAGGTATGAGGGCAGTTATCACTTCCTAGTTGCCCACACGTTGGAAGGGTTGTTTTGGAGGTACCCGAAAAGGAAATTGGATTAGAGGTGGTCTTAGTGACCTGAGAGTGTGACCGCAGTGCCCAAGTAACAACTGCATGAAGTCGGTCACACACGACCTTTTTACGGGTAATTTTTGTGTTAGCTACACACTTGTTGAGACCTTACCTTACCTTACCTTACATCATCAAGTTGACTTGAAATACTCAAAAAACAATTAATTTGATCATATAACTATAGCCACAGAATCTTAAAAAACTGGTAGAAAAATACCACATGAAGCCTACGCTTTTTAACCTTGAAAAAATATACAAAATAGATAGAGACAAAGTATCTATTTACATTCGAATAGATGTGACTGTACAAAATCATTCGCTTTGAGTGAAACAAAACAATTACAACAAATGAATCATACAAATTTAAGTACAATAAAACGTTGTTAGCAAATATACCATGTTTATTACATTCCTATGTCAATGCTCAATAGATTCACATGTTAAACTGATTGATTGTCAAACTACGACTAAGCCATGTTAAACATTTGATTTGAAATACCTAATATCTATCCACTCATCGTCAACTTACAGCTAAGTGGACAATATATTCAATATGTCATCCTTAACATGAAACTAGCCTTTCTAAAATAACTCGTATTCAGTGTAGCAGGACCGAAGGCAAATTAAAATTATTATTCAATTAAATACCAATCTAATGTTCAAGCACCCTATCTCGAGTCCTGAAGGTCCTATTTTCGTGGATTGCACACTACTAGAACGAAGTAGCTGTACGGTGCACCCTCGTTTTCCATTGTACGGCAAGTGAGATCGATCTGAGACGAATACAACCTACAAATTAAACTAGACTCCAAAAAACCTCTTCAACCAAATCATTCGTTTATTTGTTTATTCGAAAAAAATGCGATATTAACAAACTAACCTAAGCCAATCAATTTCACTAAATGCAAGAATCCAGTACTTCTAGGATGAAGTGTATAACGAACACATGGTAAGTTATTTTGCTTCGCGTAACTGTCACTTCTCTCCAACGAAGTACTGCTCAAATTTGTGCCCTCAGGAAAGATTAACAACTAGAAGAAACAACAAGCGAAACAAATAGTCAATAGAAAAGAATTGAATGAACAATCTGACTTTTTACAGTAAGATTACAATACTAACAATATGTAGAAAGAGAAAAGTAACTTCATGATTAGTGAATTCCTTCATAGGTATAAAACACCGGACAAAACACTATATATACGTCTGTGTCACACACCGATTTACCTAAATAACCAATAAAAGCCATCAAGAAATAGATATCTGTTTTGTCCCAGTTTGAGATTTTTCAGTAGTGCGGACGCAGCCACGCATTGAACCCAACACTTGTGATCATAGCTTCGCATTGGAAACTCGAGAATAATTTTGAAGTTACTCACTATAACGAGAACCTGAAGAATGGGATTGTACGACAAATGACTGTCTTTGTTATCGATGCTCTTTATTAGTGGAATGACTTATTAATTTTCAGCAAAGCTGGATTATAGCTAGCAATCAAATCTAGGACATGAGTTTTGTCTTGATTAAGATTCGTCAGCCAGGATATATGTTAACATATTACTGTTACTCATCGAGTAGAATTTTTTCGCGCGATATTTGAATATGACCCAAGAATTCAATTACTCTACACAGTTTGACAATCGGAAACATGAAATACCTACGTATAGTATCGAAAATCCTCAAAAGGCTAAATATATCACAACAGTTGGTTTTGTTACAAAATTAAAGTAAAAGTTGCTGAATGGAGATTTTTGGAACTTATAAGTAAGCTACGGTCAAAAATAAATGATGGTGCTACTGAATATGATAAGTAGATTATTCATTAGATCGATGAGAAAGGAAGAAAAGAGACTAGAGTTCAAAGATATAGTTACAAAGTGCAGGACAATATCGTGAGTTTTTTTTTAAAAAGTAGATGAATGAAAGTTACTGTGAATGAGAGTAGCCTATGAGCCAAAACAATAATAAGAGAAATAAAATTTGAATGAAACCTCAAATGCTACATGATAGTTAGCAAGAGAAAAAATATAGAACATCAAAGAGATAAAATGTTGAGAAGTATGAAGGGAACTATGGGGTATAAAGATGGTAGTGAGTATAAAAACTGTTTTATTAGTCATTTTTCTCAATCTAATCCTATTCGGATACATTTCGTACATTTTCTAAAGGTTTTGTGTAGTTTTAAAGTAATTTTTACTATTGATTGACGACAGCTTACGAGTCCTACAGCAACAAGAAAACAGCTGTTCATTGTTCTCTAACTTTTAATGATTCGGTAACACAGATTAGCTAGCTTGTGGTGAAATTAACATTACTAATTTTAGTTTTAACTAATATTGTCCTTGACCATGTTCCGACATCCCTACTTCAAATGACCTTCATTTGTCTACTGTTTGGCATATCACACCACAATCAGAGATAATTATTTACACCTGGTGTTAGCCTTTACTAGTTTATTTAGTGACATATTTCGTTTATTCTATCCACTAGTATTAACTTAACTGGAAGGATTTAATCAATCAACCATACCTAAGCATGGACAGTGTACAAATATACTTATTGTCACTTCAGTTACTTCATATATGTATATATAGTAATACAGTTGTGTAGTTACAACAGGGGGTTGTAGATGAAGATGTACATTTTCATTGTAATTAGATGGTAGTTGGAGGTAGTCGACAGGAAACCCTGGACCCGGTTTTCGTGCAACTTGGCACTCGTCAGCAAGGTGTACTTGTAATCTTGAGGGAACTGGTGCTCCCTGATGGATCCGATCCCGTGTCACCCAGCTTCACAGTCAGATACGGTAACACTGAGCTATCCGGGACTGAGATGTAATCACAATTGATTGATCAATGGGTGGTGATCAATGTTATGTCTGTCAAGTCCTTATATAGTGCAGATCGAATGTTTACAGCTCTAGGACCTTGAAGGAACGAATAGGCATTCATTGATCACTGAATATCGTGGAAATTAATCTGATATTACCTCACTCTCTAGTAGAATAAACGTCTAAACAGATGATCGTACAGTAATCCTGTAAGAAACAAAAAACGATTTCCTATGAAAAACCGAGCCGTACCACATCTTTATCTTTCTTTGGGCTACGTTAATTGAATTTTCATAGGCAGTAACAATAAAATACAAACTGATTTTTACAGAGAACATTAAAATTTGAGAGCAAGTTTTACTGATTAATGTTTTTAACTGTATTATTCTAGTTCACTTAAGTGGTACAAACACGGTCAATTTTCTATGTTCATAAATAGGTAGCATCATATGAAACGCTGAGGTGAACATAGTCAATACTTGATATTTTAGTTAAACAATATCCATCATTACCCATTGACTAATTTAAACTCAAGACAAAAATGTAAACAAAATGATAAACTATAACACCATTTAATGATTTCTATCTGATCACATGCTTATTTAATAGTTGACTTTGTGTTAGATTCATTGAATTCAGCATACTGAACATATGTAACTTACGCAAGATGTGTTTATTTAGCGCATAAACTTGGTGACATGGTTTAAGCAATCGACTTTTAATCACTACATTACCCATTCGCATTGTACTTTGACATAACAACAGTTTGACAGCTTTCACTGAGCAGATGCAACTCGCAACTTAAAAATTAATCTGTAAATAGTTGTCGAGTTGAAGTAATAATTAGTACTCATTGTATTGTAATAGTACGTAATGGAAGAAAAAGCAGTATTGAGCATCCATTAAACAAAAACCGGAATGTGAAAATTTGTTGACTTCATCGTGAAGAAAGAGATGTTTAACGTTTACGGATAATATATGATATTCATACATACTTCAAATCACATCAGTAAAGCAATATGTATCAGTTGACTTGTTGCTAGCAACCAACCAGGCAATATAATATGTGAAGTGTTGTATTAGTTAGACATAAATAATCCCATTTTTTCTATTGTAGCAATACGATAAAGATTTGTGTAAGTCCAGCTGAAATTATCTTTTTTGAGTTTAAGGAAATATAGAGTTGTGGTCTTACTAGTGGTAAGTGACACTAATTAATGTCATGTTTTTAACAGCTAATGTAAAATTTTGTCAAATTTTTCTTTGTAATATTTAAATCATACATGCTGGAGTTTTGTTCTCTGAGCTGGATGGTTTGGTCATCCTTTTGAACGATCAGAAGAACGATGAAAGCTCCACGAACAAACCATCCAGTTCAGAGGACAAAACTCCATCAAAATCATCCACCTGAGCTACAAATCTTCTCCATCATATATGCACTAATTGTGTTTTTCCATAGTGTATTGTTAACAATTTTTAATGAAACAGTAAAAATATTCATTCCATAGGAAAATAAACAGATAATTTTTTTGTGGAACAAGACAATGAGCAGAAGGAATGAACTGATAATTATTGTGAGAAATTACAGTATTTATATAATACGTACATATAGCCTTCAATCATCCATTAGCATCTTGTGTGAAATCCGAACTGCCTTCTCATCTAGTCTTCAAGTGTTCTGACTACGCCGTGCTTTTGATGTTCTGAGACTCTTCTCTCTGGCTGACGACTGCGACAGCTTCGAGGCCACGCTCCGCTACATACTACTTACAAATCTGTGAGTAGAGTCTACCACACTTTTAGTCACACATGGAGCAAGAAACTTTGGCCTGCATGAGACACTGTGAAATAATAAGTATTGCTACTCTTCTAACACACTTGTTCTACGATCCACCTTAACACTTCAAAATAGTTTTCGTTAGGTTTTACAACTTTGTCAACTGAAAATAGTTAATAAGTTGTATTACTGACGAACCGATTCACAGTCAACTTTGGTCCATTGTGTGGATTCGACAACATGATGACAATGGGTTTGTTTCATAATCCTCGTGGTTAAACGAGTTGACCTTATTTAGACAACCAATGAAAATTAAAGAACCATGAAACACTGCTTTACTGAAGTATGGGAATTGTAATTCTTCATATCCACGACCCCGACAAGGTTCCAGCTCCAGGACCTATAGGAATAGCAGTAAAAGTATGCAGACACAATAAAGCACATACTCAAAATAAACACTACGTACTTGACAACTCTGTTTAACTTTGAGTAAATATTCTACAATTTTTTGTAATCGCTGTTGATCTGTTGCAATACGCCGGCGTAGGAATATAAAGCTACCACATTGCATTGCCCAACCAGCACCTGGAACTTTCGCAAGAGAATCCTTAAGAATTATTTTCATACGCTGAATTGGATCACCTAAACCCCACACGAAGAACCAATCTAATTGCGTCCGGTGATTGATCAGAAAGAGACAGCTATGGGGTTCAGTAGTGGTGGGTGGTATAACTCGGTCACCAAAATGACGGATACGACAACCAAGAATTTTGAGTATTACAAACTAAAAACGATAATACATTAAAACAATTAGTCCCTTTGATAAATTTCGATAATGATACTAGAAGACGAAGATTATCAGACCTATGTGATATATTAGCGCAATACATTTCGAACAATCTGGTCACACATATACATATATATAAATGCTCTTAACAAGTATATGTGTGACCAGATTGTTCGAAATGTATTGCGCTAATATATCACATAGATCTGATAATCTTCGTCTTCTAATATCATTATCGAAATAATACATTGGTTTGATTACACACACAACTTTGAATGGTATTCAATGAAGATGTTGGAGTTACTTTGGCTTATATTTGACATCATATTCTGAACTGTTATAGTGCATGAGTATAGTAATCATTGAATTCCATAAGCTAAATAATAAGTTGCAGAAAAAATAAACATTTCTGCAGTGCGATAAAACTTCATCCGGGAGATTTGACCAATATATACAGATTACAAATCAACGGCTTCCCTATTACTTACGACAAATTTTAAGAATAGACAGTTAGATGAAACAGTGAGACATGTTTTTAATTTACAACCTGAATACGACGTAAAAATAAAGATTAATAATATCGAGATACTAACAACTAACCATTTCAAACAATCTTCTCTGATGACTATCAGCTACATATAGGTTTACACACTGAGATATGAGTTACATGGAATAGAGGGGGTGATGATAGTGACTGACTGTACAAACACCAGTGGGTAACATGTACACAGAATGAGTAGGAAATCCACAAACCAATTCAGCTTTAAGAAGAACTGAGCTAAAACAATTACAGAACAGACTGTGGTCAACATTAACATGACAAGTTAGATTTAGGAGCGCAATAAGAATGGCGAATCCATGATTGAATCCAATGAATATAATGTTTGAGTCGGACTTAGAATTCAAAAAGCATATACATGATTATACAATAAATCGGAAGTCATTTATACCGAGTGAAATAGACGGATAAACGATACCAATAGGGAATCAAGGTTTCAACTGACCAATTCTAAAAAATTAGGCTCGCTTAATTTAAGCGGTCAATTACAATGGAAGAATTACACTGGGTTTGTGATACAGTATATGATTTCTTTCTTAGTTAAATATAAGACAGTTAATGTGGAATATGTGCAAAATCAATAAACGGACGGATGCTAATAAATCAGAATTCAGGAAACAAAAATACTGATGATTTGTATGGATGAATATAAGTACGCCAACGACAGTTTTATTCCTAGTATAGGATTGTGGAGATTGTTAAATTTCATTTAAATCACAAACCAATATAAATTAGACAATCATCGAAAGCTTGTAAACACTGAACAGCTATTTCGTCGTAGTACGGGACTCCAAAGTGGTTTGTACCCAATACCCCACAACCAGGGATCAAACCCATAGCCTTCTGTTGCAAGCACTAACAGTAGACCACTGAGCCGGCATCTAATCGAGTACAAGTCCAACTTTAATCAATCCGAGAGATTTCTGGAGTTCTAGTCAGAAGCCGTGACCAGTGGAGTTCAACCATATCATGTATGAGGAAAGTACCTAACAAAGACAATAGGAAAATGGTTGTGCAATATAGTGGATTGATTGAAGTTAGACTTGTACGCGATTAGATGCCGGCTCAGTGGTCTACTGTTCGTGTGCCAGACCGAAGGCTGTTGGTTCGATCCTCGGTTGAGAGGTAGTGGATGTACATCACTCAGAAGTCTCGTACTAAGACGAAACAGCTGTCCAGTGTTTACAAGCTCTCAATAGTTTTCTAACTTAGATCGGTTTATGATTCCAATAAAAATCAACAATGTTTTTGTATAATCAAATTGAAGTTACATTCGCCTTGTCTTCTGTTGAGTATAAATTTTTGCTATTTATAAGTTGTTTGTGGTTGAACAAACAAACAGCATTTGTCAATCTAATTCTTTTCATAGGAAGATCAGCTGATACACACATGATAAGCTTTTTCATAAGAATTTGTGTTGATTAGAAATCACAATTGCAAATGAAACAATTCGAATGACTCAAGAACATTCATAGAATTAATCATTTAAGTAAATTGATTTAAAAAAATTGTTTACTCTTGATAACTAGTTTATACTGGGAAAACAAAAACAATAGAGCGTATAGAATTAGGGATTAACAAAAAGTTATTTGAATTGTAGAATGTAGGATTACTTCGCTTCACACTAAGGATGACTATTAATTTGTTACGCTTCACGGCCAGTTCGGAGGGAAATTAACTGTGTTTTGATGTGATGCCTAATTGCTTTATTCACACCTAATGGCATCTGTGATAGCATGTTTGAATCTAAAGTATTCTGTTGTTATTATACTTGAAAAATAAAATGTTTTATCTGAGCAATAATTTGTACTGCAATTATCTCATCAAACTATATCTACATATATACTTACTTCAGCAAGCATCAGCCACGATGTTAAAAGAAAGTCACTAAAATAGCGAAATACAACAGGCGACAGAACAGCCAACGGTAGTAATGGAGCCAAAAAGAAGATAGAGCCAATGTACGCAGAAAACAACAATAGACAGATTCCAATTATACCTCGAATTCCATACAACTTATTAACAGGAAGTTTCGGTGGAACAGGCTGTGGAACACATGAAGAGTAAATACTCTCAGACTTTTCCACAAACGAAACTGGTTCAGATGACGTTGTGCAATTTTCTCGCTGAGACTCATCATTTGGAATCACCTTAACAGCACCTGACATTTGAAGAATTCTCTCTCTAAAATAGAATAATAGCAGTATGAAGTATGCACAGTAAATAAAAAGTGGGAAAAGATAATTGTTTTGTTTTCACACATTTATTGTTGACAATTAGTTACAATTAAAAAATCAAGCAGTAAAAACGAGTGTACAGGTAAGGAGAACAAAATATATAAATAATAGTGTGGGAAAGTGATGAAGTTACAGTAAGTTCATTACAAAGATTTTATCAAAATGAATATCAATCAAAAGTTTATCCTGACGAAATCATAATAAGAAATACAATAAAGTAGGATGAAAATACACTCAGATGAAAAAACAAGTTGGTAAGTTCAAAGTTTTCTACTAAAAAACATGCTTGAAATCACTGCTTTTAAAAAGTGTACTCAATTTGTTAACTATCCCAAAAGCTTGTGAGAGGTTAAGATTCTTCACTGAATCCATATTACTTAGTAGTTTTTTGACACTATTTCTCTATTTTACCACTGACCTTTATAATACTGATCAGGTCAGTTTAACAAACATGGGTAATTAAGTTAAGCCAAATAAAAGCTTACACCGCTAATATCACCGGTCATTTTCAGACAAAATGGATGTCTTCCATAATAAACCCCATTTTTAAATAAAGAAAATACAAGTATCTGACGTGTACGAAACAAATCCCATCACAACTTTTATTTTTGGTCCATTGCAATTGCAATTCCTTTTTGTTGGCGACATGTTCTGACAGTCACGGCCAAGTATTCCATGAGATTACAATAACTGAGGCTAAACAAATTTTATTAATATTATCTTTATGCATTTAGTTGTTGATAGTTATCTAATCCTCGAAATAGTAATCCAAGTCAGCATTGCTCCTCATCAATTATTTGGTTTTCAACCTGTATAAAAAGTAGTCCCCATGTTTACAAATGACCTGATAAATAATAATGTTCGGTAAGCAACAAAGAACCATTTATAGGCCGGTTGCTGCAAAATCTGACCATCGATATAAATATATAGGAATTAATTAAGTAATTTAGAAGCGAAATAACAAGTATTTGGACATTTTCCTAACAAGATCTTGCCACCAAATGCTATGGTACGGATGAGGGTGGAGAGAGTTAGCTCTTCCTCTCGAAATACTTTCACATGGCTACACATATACAGCCAATGTAAGTAAAGTCCTACACACTGCTTTTTCTTGACGGGGATGCTGTTTACGAAACTCAGAGGACGAAAAGAAAATGTCCAGCGCTTCAACCAGCTTGGCGGAAACGATGAGTCCACCTAGGGGAGTTGGAAAACCCTGATCCAAAATGAAATGATCCACGTGGGCTCCAATATACTGAAGGAACAAATGGCGTATGTACCAATGGTTGGTCACCGGCTATCATGGGACTGCATCTCCTGACGTTGCTCCACTGCCTTGTGGATCAGACGTTAAGGTCGAAGGTTCCGGGTGTGACCCCCTAAGAAAGTCACCTGCTTCGGTTTAGGCACCTGGGCAGTATCACAGCCCACACACGAATCAAGTGACTTGTGTGGTGTATATGTATTCGGTGCCCCTTTGCATCAATATTTGTGTTCAAATAAATAAATAAATAAAAGAAAATAACTCATAAATAGATTATTGTTCAAAACCAATCTTATTATTTGGTAATTTCTGGCAGGAAAAAGTAAAAATGAAACTCAGTTACATTTTTTTAGTCAAATCAGTTGTTGATTTGGCAAATTATATACATGCATTAAGTTATTTTTCAATCAGTGTCAATCACTTCCAGTTCAATGAGGTCAAATTTAACCATTGATCAAATACTTAAAAACGCTGCAAATTTCCTTTTAATTTTTGATGTCAGTTTGATCAGATGAAAGTCGGTTGTAAGTCAGTGGTGGAACCAGTAACTGATGTACAAATAATTCTTCATTTACAGTCCTGCTTTTTTCGTTAACTGAGACATACCCGTCCTGTAATGAAGTAACGAATACCAAATGGAAGTTTTTTCCGCAGTCATAACAAATAGCAATATCAGTAGCAGTACAAAAGTTTCACTGTAAGACTACTAAATTTTTAAATACTATTGACTTGCCCTACACAATAGTTAGTTCTCCAGTGGTTTAGTTCTACCTAGAACACTCCCCAACGACCAGTCTAACATCTAATGACTTTCACATCCACATGTGAAAGGTACTTCAAAGTCAGAGTCGAAACATTCACAACTATGTTGCTTTCTGATTACAACATATATTTCACGTGCATACAGTAGAGCTTATATGCATCAATACATAGTATAATTATCACTTTACAAACAGGCAGTTTAACGTAGCTTTGCAATGAAGTAACTACAAGATCATTCGATAAGGCTCATCCTTATCATTATTTGAGTTATAGTCAATAAACCCATTAGAGAGTCAAACAGTAGTTCAGCCTTTCTAAATTTTCAAAAAATATTGGGAAGATTTGAGAATTTTAACATAACTAAGTTGAGAAGCATGTATTCTACCGGCCCACATATTGAACCATGATAACCGATCACCGAATACTGTGAATTGCTGCAGACTAAAAACGTTAGTTACAAATACACTATCTAAATACAATACGCTTTCCCCAGACCACGAAAGACTAATAGAAATGAAAGACAAAAAATGCTCAAGGTCTAACAATTATAGCATTGCGTTATTAGAATAAGATATCTACACTTAGTACTGAGTTGAATTAAAAAACATGTAAAATAAATAGTGATGAAAATTGAATGACTACTTCCGAACAGAATAAACATGTCTCGAAGAATGGTGAGGATTTCTTGAATTCTTCCGGTTTTTGCCAGGCTAAACAGCTTCGACGGTATTAATCTACAAATACCAAGGCGTGAAGAATGCTAAGTAGCTGTTACCCTTACTCTGAGCTACAAGTCTTCCACCATTGCAAAACTAAGGTTCAAATTTTTAAAAAATATATCCAGGGTCAAAAATTGAAGATTCCAAACATGATATTTTACAATACAGAACGACTTGCTAAAGCACCTCGCGACAGTGAGAAATTAAGAGCATAAATATAAAATTCGAATTATCTTTACAAACACTGTTGAAGTTCCATGGATTAAGTTATTACAAAGTTTTATTTTGAACCTGGTTTCCGAACAGGTGCGCAGTCATGTACTCCACGTACAACTTTATGTTTCACTCCGATAAGGTCTTGTGTGCGACCACCACGAACTAAAATAATATTATGTTCCTGTAAATTATGACCTTCACCAGGAATATGAGCTGTGATTTCACGACCATCAGTTAAACGGACACGTACACATTTTCTGTTCGCACTATTTGGTTTCTTGGGTTTACGTATAAAAGTTTTCAGCACAATCCCTTTTATGAATGGCTTCGCGTTCATCGCTTTATTTGGGGGACGCTTCTTTTGAAATGGACCAGAAATGGCCATTTGAGCCAAAGTAGCTAGATTAACGGTTGGAGACATCCCAAGTGGTGAAAAGCAGTTTTTCGATGCAACTGGTAAAGATAATCCATTATTTATACACTTGAGGCCAACTGAAACAAAGGACCAATTCAACAGTTGTTTGTGGAAGGAACCTATAGTAAAAAATAATTAGCATGCTGTGAGATGTAAGAGTATAGGTGCACAAATATAATTATGATTAAAGGCTTTACTGAGCTGATAAAATGTCTGTGTCTATGTAAAGCACGACCAGCTTACACCACATTTAATTCAAATCAGATATACCCCATTTTATATCAGGGAGTGGATAAAGTGCATTATTGCACGGTTGACATCTAGTTCATGCAGGTAAATGAGGTAGAATATTTAGTCACTTAAGATTTTGCGCCATCGCCCAAATCCAATTACACTATGAGACGAGAAATGTAGAGATTATGTTATTTGTTTTATTTACTTATTTGAACATATAAATATTGGTACAAGAGGGCAACAAATATATATGCGCCACACAAAACAATGAGAATTCGAAAAGAAAAAAAAGGTAAGGAGCGTAAAAGAAAAAGACAATAACGAACAGAATAGTGTAAGTTAGTGTAATAATAATTATAATAGTAATAATGGGGGAAACAGGAAGGTACAACGAGAAAAAATTTTTCAGTTAAGGAAAAAGCAACCACTTTTTATAAAGAAAATAAAAGAAGGATACAGCAGGATCGCCACTGGCTTCTATTCTAAGCCATATCTGATAACGTCTCTAGCCTTTCTTGACTTAAAAGCAGCATTTGACTCGGTAGACCGCGAGATTCTGTGGCAGTGTCTGTCATTGAAAGGCGTACATCAGAAGTACATAAACCTCGTAAAGACTCTTTACTCGAACACTACTAGTCGAGTCAGAGCTTATGGCGAACTGTCATCTACTTTTGCATCCTCAAGTGGTGTCCGTCAAGGCTGTCCACTTTCCCCATTTTTGTTTAATTTCATCGTAGACCTACTGCTGAAAATAAGGTTCTCGTCGTTTGAATTTTCAGTTATTGATCTCCTTCCAGGAAGTCCACTTAACGACTTAGAATACGCGTCGACAACTTCACTTATCTTGGAAGTCTGATCAGCCCTAATGGGCTGGTGTCTGACGAAATCTCAGCACGGATTCGAATAACTCGTTTGGCTTTTGCCAACTTGCGTCACCTTTGGTGAAGGCAAGATATTCATCTATCAATAAAAGAACGAGAATACTGCGCGGCAGTCCGTTCTGTTTTACTTTATGGCAGCGAAACATGGCCTTTAAGAGTAGAAGACACTCGTAAGCTACTAGTATTTGATCACAGATGCCTTAGAAATATTGCTGGCGTCTACTGGGATCACCAGGTAAGTAATATTGAGGTTAGTCGCAGGGTTTTTGGGAATGATGGTAAATCGGTTGATGAGGTTGTGAATCTTCATCGACTGAGATGGTTGGGCCACGTGTTATGTATGCCTGAACATCGATTACCACGACGTGCAATGTTAACGGGTGTTAGAGACGGTTGGAAGAGAATTAGGGGCGGCCAAACCAAAACGTGGCATCAGTGTTTGAAGACACTAACCTCTAGTCTGAGCCATGTTGGTAGATGCAGACTACTTGGTTGTCGTCCGCGTGACCTTCGTAACCGATGGTTGGAGACTCTTGGTGACATGGCTCAGAACCGATCACAAAGGTGTAGGTGTATACACTCCCTGTCTTCCCTTAAACTAAGAGATTAAAATAACTTCATATCTTTCTTCCTACTAACTAATTTTTTCTTCCTGTACTGTATCCTTATATGCAATTTTTCTCCTATATATTACCACCTTTGACCTAACCACTGCTATGAATCCGGTGTTCATCTTGCTGTGCTAATGCGGTATGACAACCTGGACCGATGCATATATGTGTTCGGTCCTACGTTGTAGCTGACTGACTGACTGACGTCTCTAGCCACAGTGTTGCTCCAGTATCCTGAGAGAACAAATGGCGTATGAGCCAATCGTTGGTCACCGTCTACATTGGGAGTGCATCTCCTCACGATGCTCCACTCCCTTGTGGATCAGACCTTTAGGTCAAAGGCTCGGAGTGTGGTCCCCTAGGAAAGCCACCTGCTTCGGTCTGGGCACCCGGGCAGTATCACAGCCCTCACGCAAATATGATGAACTATTCAACAGATTATGTAAGGTTTTAAAAGATACAAACAAATCAAATAATTAGGTTGTAGAACTGCAACTATCAAGATACTTGTAAAATACACTGAGAATATTTAGCAACTGTACTAGACGTGATATATAATTGCGGTGTAGTGAAATAGTATGGTTTCAATTCTTTTCGAGGTAAAAGAACATACGTAAACGACATCCTCAGACTAAAGAAGACCGGTTTTCTTTGACTTGTTTTTACGCTGCAGTGAAAGCGATAATATCCACAGTTGGATTATGTGAAGTTCTTTTACACTAATAAGACCTGTTTGATAGCCTAAAACAGCTTTCTGTATACTTGTAATTGTTTCTGAGAATCAGGGTTGCTAAACATGGGTTATTAGGTCTCCTGATATTGCCAACCCTACTGTTGAAGGATGATGAAGAATTATGCATTCTAGTCATTAACATGCACCATAAATTTTATGTGCTAGTTGGTTTGTAAGGTATTAATGGGACTTTTATTAAATAAATATACATAGAACACCTTGAATCAGTGTATACAAGTTTATAATGAGCACCATGGTTGTAAACCCAGATAAAAGGCAGATGCAACGTTCTAGGTAAATATACATCAAGACAGCACAGAAAATCACAGAAAGGACAATAGACAAAAGAAATGATAAAAGACGGAAAAGGGGTGATAAAATCATAGTTTGTAACATAAATAGTGAATCTGAGACATGTCAGCTAACATCTCTAGAGAGCATGTTACAACTTTGCTGTCAGTCAGCTGCAACGTAGAACAAGACACATATATGCGTCGGTCCCAGTTGCCACACCTCATTAACACAAAAAGATGAACATCAAAATTACGGAAGTAATAAACTCAATAGTAGTTACAAAAAGTTTCATATAAGGATATGATACAGGGAGAAAGAATTAGTTCGTAGAAATAAAAGTATAGTAATTTTAATCTCACGGTTTAAGGAAAGACAAAGAGTGTGTACACCGACGCCATTATGATCAATTCTGAGCCATGTCACCCAGAGTTTCCAACCACTGGTTATGATAGTCGCGCGGACCCCAACCAAGTAGTCTGCATCTACCAACAGGGCTCAGACTAGAAGTTAGTGACTTTATGGACTGATGCCACGTTTTCGTTTGGCAGCCCCTAACTCTCATCTATCGGTCTCCAACACTAGTCAGTATTGCACGCTGTGGTAATCAGTGTTCAGGCATATGAACCACGTAGCCCAACCATCTCAGTCGATGAAGATTCACAACCTCATCAACCGATTTACCATCATTCCCAAATATCCTGCATCTAACCTCAATATTACTTACCCGGTGATCCCAGTAGACACGTGCAATATTTTTAAGATATCTGTGATCAAATACTAGTAACTTACGAGTATCCTCTACTCTTAATAGCCACGTTTCGCAGCCTCAAAGTAGAATAGAACGAACTACCGAGCAATATACTCGGCATTAATTGATAGACGGATATCTTGCCTTCACCAAAGGTGACGCAAGTTGGCAAAAGCCAAACGAGCTATTCGAATCCGTGCTGAGATTTCGTCAGACACCAACCCATTAGGGCTGATCAGACTTCAAAGATAAGTGAAATTGTCACTCCCTATCCTTAGTTCCGGTGTTGATGCAGGCCAGTCCTCAAGCAACAACTTGCATGTGGAGAGGTAGAAACGAATCTCAAACATCCTGGCATTGTTGTTCAGTACTAACAAAAGACCCTGCACTTTATTAGTCTTTATCAAACAGGATTATGATATCTGTGTATTCTAAGTCGTTAAGTGAACCGCCTGGAAGGAGATCAATAACTGAAAATTCAAACGACGAGAACGTTATTTTCAGCAGTAGGTCTACGATGAAATTAAACAAAAATGGGGAAAGTGGACAGCCTTGACGGACACCACTTGAGGATGCAAAAGTAGATGACAGTTCGCCATAAGCTCTGACTCGACTAGTAGTGTTCGAGTAAAGAGCCTTTACGAGGTTTATGTACTTCTGATGTACGCCTTTCAATGACAGACACTGCCACAGAATCTCGCGGTCTACCGAGTCAAATGCTGCTTTTAAGTCAACAAAATCTATCATTGTCGGACGCCGATAAGCATTCCTGTGTTCTAGAACCCAACGAATAGTGATTATGTGGTCGATGCAGCCACGACCAGGTCTGAGGTCAGTCTGTTTTTTCTCGTATTTGCAGTTCACGAGTCTTTGTTAAGCGTCCGATAATTATTGAGGTTAATGTTTTAGATACTATATTAGTCAAACTAATCCCTCTATGGCTATCAAGGGATGATTTTGGCCTCTACTTCTGTATTGGGACAATCAGTGATTTCGATCAAAATAAACAATATATATGGTGTAACATAGGCTAACGAATACTAAAACGTTATCCATTCAACCATATATCAAATTTGACATTAAGTCACTTGCCTAAAATTGTTATCTATGTTTTAGTGTTTGATTTTCTCGACTCTTTTGAAACACTATGCTATTTACTGCTTCCCTTGTTTTAGCATTATTTGACACAACAATGATCTAGCGCACATGGAAATCAATCAATCGTTTGTCAAAACACTTTTAGGACACATGTATCTAAACAGCATCACATATTGAACTGTTAAACTCCGAACCCTAATAGTCTGTAGAGCTAATCGTCCCGCGGGATCTGCAGATGAGGTAGTAGGAGAGCGTTCCCGCTTAAAGAGGTATGATTTTCGTTATATTCCTACCAAAAACTGAAAGGCAAACCAAATATCCCAATACCTACAGAGTTATAATGATAATCAAGTTTTCTTTTGAGATATATACTAGAGGGTGCTATCACAATAGCTTTCGGTAGAGTTCCAAACGTACCGATCTAAACAGTGAAAAGGTTCGTAAGAATCTTCTTGCGAGCTGATTACGCGTTGACGTGTTCATTTCTGCGACCTATTACCATAACGTATCGGTGGTCTACCCCCATGGAGAGAACTATAGGGAAAATGATACACTATGGCTACATCCCCTTAAACCTCATGTTAGATGTAACAGGCGAACCTAGGTCAGCTGAGCAGGGCTAAATTTTTCAGCCCGTACACTGACGTTGCTCTTTTCTGAATGTTTCAAATCAGTAAAGATAAGGAGACATAATGCACAAGTTATTCCAGATGAGGTGTGAAGTTGATACTAAAAACGGTTCTCAATTATTCCAAAACCAAGCTACGTAATATTCCAGAAGTACTATTCAAACGTTACTGGCCTCTTAGATAGACGTACATACCAATAGGCGTCGCTTATTTACCACTAGTAGGTACGGGATTTCATATGAAGTTTATATTCCACAAATACCTCTTCGAATTATTTACTGACTGAAATCAACACTCAAGCCAGTTTTCTCACTCCCACGATATTAGCTGCCTTTGAAAATCGACACCAGCTTAATGTTACTAAGACCATTTCACATCCTACAGTATGCAATATATAAATTCAATTGTAGTTTTATATTGACAAAATGTATATTGATCGCAATACATTTAATCCTGTCCTGGAATGCTATAGCGAACTAAAAATGGTCCCGCATCCCATAACACTAAAATTTCATAGTGTGGAGTTTCAATATATTAAGAAAAAAAGCCTACCAGTCGATCTCGAAAACACGCTACAATAGCGTTTGAAAAGCGCGGACATCACGCTTAAATTTGGTGGCCCTGAGAATCCAATATTTGATTTCAATAATATTAAATGATACAAAACAGCTATGAGTGGTAAGACGATATTGATTCGGAAATACTCTCGATATCGGACACAATCCACATGAGCGGTATTCAAAAAGAAAATGGTATATTTACTCGCTGAGTTAAATGAATAATTTTTGATTGTTTATTACTCATTAAGAATATTGCTTTCACTTTAATTAAATTTATTTCAGCTAAAGTGACACGAAGATTGTTACTTTTACAGCATCAATTTATTTGCAATTTTTTCCCACCACATTTTTTTATTTGTCACACTTCAATATCTAACATTTTGCCGTTTTCTACTCTTTCTTATTATCAATTCTGCGTTCATGTACTAATGTATCTTATTTATTCTAGCGGCTTTGTTTCGCTACTATATAGGTCTAAAAAAAGCAGTTGCCAATGCTCAGACTGTCGATACTCTGCGGAATGTTGCACGCAGTACAATGAGTGCAGTGGATGACACAACAGTTTGAGCGAATCCAATGCCAGCGGATTTAAGACGGTTTATTAAACCTACGCAGCTGACTACCACGTCACAATATTATTAGGGCCTCTCCGTCAAGTATTTATGAACTAGAACAACATATATAAGCGAACAATTGTTTTCAATTAGATCGTCATCAGGCTTTACTCTAATATACATGAATATTTATACGAAAATTTTAAACCAATCAAGGCAATATGAGTCAATAATCACGATGAAATAGAATAAGTCACTACACGTAATAGGTAAAAGTACAAGTTGATAGTACGAAGACAGGTGAACAGATAGTGGTAGCAAAACTCTTATCAATAGTTAATCGTTGGAAATAGAAGGTCAAATAAACATGGGTAAATACACTAGGAATAGTAATCACAGAACCTTAAAAATCATTACGTAATAAGATGTGTGTAAATAATTAGATAGTGAAGAATACAAAGAGGCGGATAATGACAAACAAATAATGGATGTGGAAATAAGGTTAACAATAACACAAATAGAATAAAATAAATAATGATAATAATAAAATTTAAAACAAAAATAAAAAATTGTAAGTTAAGTTATAACTGGCCATGGAAGGGGTAGGGGAGTCACGTATTTCTTCTGTACACATAGATTGGGGTTATATGTACGAATTCCAATGGCTTCAGCTATATATAGGAGACGGGAACGGACTCCGTCGGGAAATGATGGAGGTATACGATAGATAACTCGAAATGATTTCGATTTCTCTACTGCATGACCGCTATCAATAAGATGTGCTAGTATAGAACTGCGAATAGTTTTTCTCTGACCCTTTATGTACCAAGTTGGTAGATGTTCACTCATTCGTTGGTTAAGTTGCCTGGTAGTACGCCCTATATAGCTATCTCCACAGGAGCAGCTGAATTTGTAAATGCACATGGAAGAGGCCAACTCAGGTAACTTATCCTTCGTTTGAGTAGACATCGCTGGTCGACAAGAGGAGGTCAACGCAAGATTGGCTGCGTAGAATGTCTTGGTGATTACTTTGGTTAACCTATATTTCAGAGTGTCACTAGCCACATTACCGTTGAATTGCACTTTCATGTATAAAGGTTTCTTACGAACAGTCGAAATCTCCGACTTCTTTATTATATCCTGCATGTATTTCTTGATGAACGCGCTGGGGTAGCCGATCTCGGTCAGTGAGTTGTTGAGAAATTCAAGTTCCTGACTTAAAGTGTCTACTGTACAGATCTTTTTTGCTCTGCTCGTGAGACATCTGACCAAATTTCTCTTGTACCGGATGGGTGTGAAACTGCAGAAGTGAGTATATTGGCATGAAGAGGGGTTTCTTCTTTACACGCTTCTACTTAATGTGCTGTCACTTCGTCTGCTTAGCGTGACGTCAAGGAAGCTCAGCTGCTTATCATGCTCGCTTTCACCAGTGAAGGTGATCGCTGGGTGAACACTGTTGAATTGGTCTAGGAGTTCCTCTTTACTAGTGTTTTGGTCTACGATAATGAATGTGTCGTCAATGTATCGGCAATATAAATCCACTTTCTTAATAGTCTCATTGACAAAATCCGTTTTCTAGCTTTGCTAGGAAGAGGTCAGCTAAAATCGGGCCTAGAGGCGAGCTCATGGCTATCCCGTCTATTTGTCTATAGTAAGTATTGTTGAAGACAAAATGTACATTCAGAGTGCATCTTAGGAGCAGTTCCCTTAGGCTATCGTTAGGTAGGCCAATGTTGATTTGTTTCTTTGATATTTGCTTGCATACAAAATCAATAGTCTCTATAAGTGGTACGTTGGTGAACAAAGATTCTACATCCAATGAGATCATATTTTTCATACTGACATTAATATTTTCTACTTTGGAGGTGAAGTTGAAGACATCTTTTACACTATTTCTAACAACTGATTTGTGTAAAGGTTCTAGGATTCGTGGTAGCCACTTTGCGATTTTGTGGTAAGGAGAATTGTACATATCTAGAACTGGGCGTAGAGGAAGACCCGATTTATGTACTTTAGGCAAACCATAAAATCGTGGTGTAAATGATCCAGTCGGCTTAATTGAATCGTAAATCTCAGTCGTAATTATTCCCTTTTTCGTTAGATCTTTAAGGAAATTGGCCAATTTTCTTTCTACTTTATTATTGATGTCACAATTACTAGTAATTTTCTGAAATTTGCTAGAATCGCTAAGCATTCATGTATATGAGAGTAAAGCCTGATGACGATCTAATTGAAAACAATTGTTCGCTTATATGTGTTGTTCTAATTTTCACAATGGGAATCTTTAATATTTATGAACTAGATAGATAAACGGACGTGAAATGAAGCCTAATCAGGCTGAGAAACATAGTTCCCAAATCTCTCAATGAAAAGGGACTTAATATTACAAAGTGGACATGTACACATGGTACCAGAAGTTTTTGAACATGAAGACTCGCCGCCTGCCAACTGTATAAGGTGACTTCGGTCATCTATCTGTGGTTATGTCTAAATTCAAGGCCTCGCTTCTGTGAAAAGGTCTACGGAAATTTCAGTTTTAGCATCTGGAGCGTACTGTCATCATGCTGGAGAATGGAAATCAACTTCCGAGTTCAACTCATGTGATTACTCAGATTTTGCAGATTTGCACCGTTCACCATTCTCACGTGATTCTCCAGAGTTTTATTGTTTGGTCGGGTTCCTACAAGAAGAACACTTAAACTTTGCACCACTGTCCGTAGGATCGAAAGGTTCGTGGTTTTCTATCGCAACACCTGAACCCATCACTGGAATTGAAAAGAACCACTGGAATAGCGTATTTGTAAATATATCTGGTGTTCAAGTAGCTTCGGATGGTCATAATGTATATTATTAATAACGAGAATAATAATAATTTATTCTCACATAACAGTCTGTTACATGAGAAATGCCAATGTACAGGCAAGATCAAATTGTTATGGAAGATACATTCTACACTGTGGTAGGTTGCTCGTTTAGTCTGATATTTTATGAGGTACACTGATCAAAAAATTGTTTGAAGGACGAAACTGTTACCTTACTAAAAGTCAGTAAATTTAAAAGCTTCATTGCAGTTGACCACCCATTTAGGCCAGGGCTAGCAGTTTGTATGTATGCAGTTAGCAACGATCACTTTTTAGGCAACATCAGAACATTTGTTCAACAGGTCCGAAGATTAGTGAAACGTCTTTGTGTTGCATTCAAGGTGGATCCGGTATCATTCTTTGTCGTGGCATCATCACTCAGAAATTTTACATTATGGGGTACTCGCCAGCAACCAACTTTGTTCTAAGCCCCCTTTCAGTTCCTTGTCTTTTCATATTATCTTCGCATACTATGGACGATTGTGAATCATCTGCATCGACGTTTCTGAGCTTCATTAACTACACTTTACGCGTCCCAACTTATTGTTTTTGGGTAATGAGTCGTATCTCAACGTTCTTTATTGTGATCGCTCTGTAATCTATATATGATTGAACTGAATCAATCTTTCTGTATCTATTTCACGTCTTTGTTATATTATCTGCTTTGATCGCTCCTTCGTTCATTGTCTTATTGCTTTCGCACGATCAAGATGCCAGTGGAAATCGTAGACGATCATTAGAAGATCAGAAACCCTGCTAGTTTTGATTTCGTTGTATGATGAATTGCATGAGGGATATTTAAATGTCAATGTAGAGTGAAATTCGTTGCTTTACGTGAAGTAAATTACACGATTTGATTATATCATATCACTTGTCATTATCATGCTCGCAAAAAATATGTTGAAAAGTTTAGTGCTATTTTCAAAGCGATGACATCAGCATTCCACTCATTTCCCACTTCAGAAGCTACACATAGTCAGGCCATGCAGGACGACGTTTTTTAAAGTACTCATTTTTCTAAGTAAACTTAATGCAGCTGCAGTATTATGAATTTAGTAACCCTTCTCATTGTTTAATCGATGTCAAGTATGAATGGTGAAAGCGCGATGAATTCATTATATCTTTGAGTATAATTACTCCATGCAATCCCATGTCATTTGTTAGCATATTAACGTGTTTGTTTAAACCTACATTTATCTGTTATCATGCAGCCCAGCTTTTTGTACCAGATTCCACCATTGTTAGCAATACATGCAACGCTTAAACCAAAAACCCAGTTTTCCAGACTTAAACTTGGATTAGTTTCCATTGAAATGCCCTTTTCATGATAGTAACTGACCAGCGTGGGATGTCGTTATTTCGATGCAACCCACGTATGGATCCCTTTCTCCTTCAAATCGCAAGATTAAAGGTCTAATGTTCAACTACTTTTGCTTGTTTTCTCAAATCTTTGTCACTTTTCTTTTTTTCATGAGCACTGCACTTTAAGGATAACAATAAAAACAGGTTGACTCTTCTGAACTAAATCTTTTAAAAAATAAATTATTGATGTAAAAAGTGGTTGCCATCTATTTTTCACAGACTGTTGGGAAACTACTTCAGTGGTCATGTTTGATGCGTCTTTTA